GGGGGCGGGGAGCGGGGCGGGCCGGGGAGCGGGGCCGGGCCGGGGCGGAGCCGCCGCAGCCACAGAGAGGGAGCGGCGGGACGGAGCGGCTGCAAACAGAGCCGGGAGCGGCCGGCGGGACCGGGGAGCGGCAGCACCGGGACGGGGCCGCTCCGCTCCCGGAGGCCGCGGCACGGAGATCGGGAAGGGGCGGATGGAGCGGCCGTGGGGCCGCGGGCAGAGCCAGCGGGGCCGGCCCGGGACACGGAGCGAGCTGCGATGGGCGGCTGCCCCCGGGCGGGCCGGAGGGGACATGCACAGACAGAGAGGTGGCACTGCCCCGTGGCTGTCCCTGTGGCTGTCCCTGTGGCTGTCCCGGTCTGTCCCTGTGGCTGTCCCGGTCTGTCCCTGTGGCTGTGTCTGTCCCTGTCCCTATCCCCATCCCTATCCCGGTGTCTGTCCTTGTCACTACCTTGCCCCATCCCTGTCCCCGTCCCTGTCCCTGTCTCCGTGTCTGTCCCCGTCCCTATCCCCATACCATTCCTGTCCCTGTCCCTACCCCATCCCTGTCCCGTCCCCGTCCCTACCTGCCCCTTCCCTGTCCCTGCTCCGCTCCGTGTCCCCGGCCCGCCCCGCTGCAGGTGATGCCCTCCCGGGGGTACCCACCCCACTTTTGGGTTACAAAGCGCTGATTGTCACTCGCACTCACCGGAGCATTGCCGTGAGCCCCGGGCAGGCGGCGGGTCCCCGCTGGAGGGCTGCCTTGGCCCGGCGGTGGCGAGCGCTGCCCCTCGCCCCCCTGCACCACCCCCGGCCCTGCCCTCCCCTCCCGGCCCCGAGGATGTCCCCGAGCATCTCGGGGAGGACCCGCCGGGACCCTCGGGCTCCGGTCCCTGGAGCTCCGGGTTGTTCTGCAGCACGGAACTCCCGCAGGGACTGAGCTGGTGGATCAGAAAAAGCTCCAGAGCCGACAGTGGGAGCAGCGGGTGGCACCGGGGACACGGGGCTGGCGGCCTGAGGGAGAACAGATGACACGAGAGCCCCGCGAGTGGTTACCTGAGGATCAGGATGAACCTGACAGACACAGAGAATTCCAGAAGGGTTTGGGTTGGGAGAGACCCTAAAGCTCATCCCGTCCCAGCTCCACCTTCCACTGTGCCAGGTTCCTCCAAGCCCCATCCAGCCTGGCCTGGAACATTTCTAGGGACATCCTGCTCTGTGCTTAAACGTGCTGGTGCCTCCCTGGGCTGGGAATGGGGCAGGGTGAGAGGGCTGGGGATGGGGCAGGATGAGGTTTCATCAGTGTCTCCCTGGGTTGGGGATGGGGCAGGATGAGGTCTCATCGGTGTCTCCCCGGTACCTGTGCAGCCAAACCACCCCAGCCAAACACTGGGAGAAATTCCCCAGTGCTGTGCTGGAATTTCCACGCCTGTTTTCCCAAAACTCAGGTGTTCTGAGTGTCTCCAGTTTCCCTGCCGAGGCTGTGTGGGCAGAGCCCGCTGTCGCTGTCCTCGCAGCGAGGGGACGCGCTGGTGCCACCGCGGATTCCTGATTTCCCAGTGTTTTTCAGGAAAGGGGTGGGAGCGGCGCCTGGAGCAGGCAGAGGAGCTGTCGGGGATCTGCTGCTTCCCAAAACCTCGGTGCAGCTCCCGAGGGAGATAAACAAGTCAGTCACTGGCTGAGCTCACGGCAGAGGCATCCCGGCCTCCATGAGAATTTGTCACGGGCCCTTCCCGGGGTGCGATCGTGCCCCGGTAGCGGCTCCCGGGAGGGGGCAGCGGATGCCAGCAGCAGCCCCGTGCTCCTCGTGCTGTCCTGTCGCCTGTCCCTCGGTCCTGCCTGGCAGGCAGCCCGGGCCCCGCTCCCTCCGAGCCTCGGACCCTCAGGGACCCGCCGGGTGCCTGCGGGATCCCGGCAGCGATGGATGCGAACGAACGGGATCAAACCTCAGCTGATCAGGGCTGGGAGCCCTGGGGGGCTCTGGGAGGGGGGACCCCGCTCCCGTGGTGTCCCGCTGCCTGCTTTTGGGATGCTTCTGCTCGGGCTGTGGAGCTCAGCGGGGTCCGTGGTCCCTCGTGTGCCCCGTGGGACAGGGACAGGCAGAGCCAGCCCCTCTCGGAGGAGCCCAGCGCTCCGGGATGCCCCTGCTGCCCGGCCTCGGCGGGTGCTGGGAAACAAAACGCCTGGGAACTTTCTGGGGGTTCCCAGGGAGAGCCGGGATCTGGGAATTTTCTGGCCTCCCCCTTGTCCCCTCCTTCCTCACTCACACTCCGCTCCCGGGGTCACAAACGGCTTTAAAAAAAGCAACAGCCCACACAAAACTCTTCCCTTCTCCGGGGGTGCTGGTGATGATCCCGCATCCGGAGGGGACCGGGAATGAAACCTCTGCCTGGGAAAGGCTCTGCCAGGCCCTGCCCGCTGCTCCCGCACCGAGACAGGAGCAGAGAGACTCCGGATCCACCGCTGCATCCTTCCCCGGGCAAGAAATCCGTCCCTTCCCTGCGCCGGCAGCTCCTGGCGGTGCTGATCCCAGCGGAGCCCCGGGTGATGTGCGGGGCACACGGAGTTCCTCCCTGCACGGGGGATGTTTCTGGACAAGGTTAGGAATTCACGTTTTCCAGGGAATCTTGTGGTCATTTCCACAAGAGAGCAGCAGGAATCACGGCTGATCCTTTCTACTCGCAGTACAGAGGGGTTTTTCCCATAAGTTGGTGGATGATGATGTGAGCTGGAACAGCATCGCTGCCACCCCAGAAGAGGAAGAAGAAGAGGAGGATGAAGGGGACATGGTAACAAAGTCCATTGATGAGTGCCCCGACCCTCCCCGTCCGAGGACCTTTTTATTTTAAGGATATAAAAAAAATATTAACATTTAATTTATTAAAATTTATTAAATTTGTTATTTAAAAAGTATATTAAATAACTTTATTAACAGAATTAAAATAATTTAATTAAATTAATTACAATATTTAATCATCAATAAATCATTATAGTTATATATAATATAATTATAAATAATAATATATAAAATAGATAATTATATATAATATATTTTATATAATTATATATAATAATTATATTACATATGATATAATTATATATAATGTAATATAATGTATAATTATTTATTATATATTATATATAATTTTATATAATATAATCATTATAATATATATTATATATATTATATTATATATTATATTATATATATTATATATAATATAATATATAATGCACATAATATATATAAAATATATATAATATAATATAATATAATATAATATAATATAATATAATATAATATATAATCACCATAATAAATCATTAATGAGGAAATTATATTTATTGTATTTGATATTACATTACAAATAATTATTTAATTATTATTTTTATTCCTTTATTAAAGAATTAAAATAAAAATAATAAAAAACCAGAATAAACCTTCAGGACACTTCTCCTCCCCCCACATTTCCTTTCTTTTTCCCCACTGACAACATAAAGAGACAAATTTGGTGTTTTCAGTCAGTTCTTTCAGTTTACTTGGGGAGAGGAGTCTCTCCTGCCATGCCATGGAGACTTTTCCACAAGAAATTGTTCTCTCGTGGTTTTAATTCCCGTGAGCAGCAGCAGCAGCAGCCCGGAGCTCTGCCATCATCAAATCCCTGCCAGGGTTTTGGTAGTTTTTCCCAAAATTACCACCATGGATCATTTCAGCTTTCAGAATGAGCGGTTCTAGTACAGAAACTGAAGATCTCTTTTATCTCTGGGAACAGAGGTTTTGTTCTTCCATCCCTGGGGCGAGGTGTTTCACCTCTCTCGTCCCTCTCTGCTCGAGCCTGTCTGGATCTCAGCTTGCTCAGCAGTGGTGCCTCTGCTCGTGGCTGTGCTCAGAACACTCCGTCCCCAGCGCACCCCGTGGCTCACAGGGATAAACCGGCCTGATGGGTCACTTATACCCGAGCTGTACATGACAATTTCAGGGCTAAGACATCTCCTCGTTCTCCTCCACCTGGGATTTGATTCCTTCTTTCCTGGTCCTGACCTACCTTGGGTTGGAAGAGACCCTAAAGCTCATCCCATCCCAGCTCCACCTTCCCCTGTCCCAGGTTCCTCCAAGCCCCATCCAGCCTGGCCTGGAACATTTCTAGGGACATCCTGCTTTGTGCTTAATTGCTCTTATTGCTGTTGGAATGAAACAGGAGGAGGAGAACAGCCTCTCCCAGCAGGACTTCCCCCCCAGCAGGCTGTGAGTTCCTGCAGAGCCAGGCTGTGTGTGGGACCTGGGGGTGCAGGGAGAGCTCCTGGTGCTCTGAGGGCTCTCAGAGCCACGGGGCTGATGCTGGTCCCTTTGCTCCACCTGGGGCCACGTGTGGCATCACCGGCTCTGCTTCTCCCCAGGGCCAAGCTCCCGCTCCCAGGAATGCATCCTGTCCCCATGGAAACACAAATGCTTATTTATATGACTTGTGTCTGTCTTGTTAAATCTAATTGAATTCCCCATCTCTCTCTCTCTGTTATTTTTTTGGTTATTCGAAGGAAGGAAGGAAGCCCAAACTCGGATGTTTGTTTGTTCTGTCCTGGCTGATGTTCCCTTGGTTGCTCTCCAGTGGTTGATGAACTGGCAGGGAAGTGGAGCGTGGAGCACGGCAGAGCCTGGGAAAGGCCAGGACCCCACTTCCCCTGGCCTTACGTCACGGTTTCTCTCCGATTATCTTGGCCTCTGCCGGCTGCCCCTGCTGCCTTTGTCACCAGCTCAGGGGACATCCACAAGGAGAGCATCTCCTTGCCCCCACATTCCCTCTGCCTGCCCTGGTGTCCCCTCCAAGCTCCTGAGCCGGGCTGCAGGTGACACCCACTGCTCCCCCTGCCCTGGGACCGTGCACGGATCCGGGCTCAGGGGTGGGCTCTGCTCCCCCCATGGGACTTCAGCTGCTCCAGCCAG